AGCAAATAACAAGAGAATAATGGCGATACTATCAGTTCATCATCTGCAGCAACACCAACGCATTAACCATAAAATAACAACTCAAAAGTTCCAAGAGTAAGGATAAGAAGTTTCTTAGCCCTCATGTTCAGTTCATCATCGGGCAAGCCCCGAGTAGCCAGGAGAACAACGAAAGGTTCGCCGTCAACTCCCTACCGACTCAAGAGCAAAGGCAACAACGACAACTACAGCTCCAACCAGCTCAGACACCAAATCATCATCGCCGACCGCAACACCCTTCCCGGCAAGCATCAAGTAAGCGCAGGTTCTGCCCTGCGAAGAAGAAGAGGAAAATTTTAGTTCAAACAGCCAAGTCAACAGACATGTCATACGGTTTCCAAAATTAACAAAGCAACGTGGAAGAGAAATACTGTGGACCACCCCAAATCAGAAAAATAACGTTCCTCCGACAAAATCAGACCAGAAAGGCAAGATTTGAACGCATCATCAAAGGAATCAGACAAATCGAGGCGAAATTGGAAAGGGTTGAAGTGATTTCCTGATTTCAGCACACATGCCCCCGACAAAGATCGCTCAAAAAGGAAGGTTTCTTAAGGGCCATGTCCGTTGGAGGCCCATCCATCCTCTTATAAAAGCACGAAGAATCTCTCAACGAAAAGACAGCGAGAACAACATGGAGAAAAGCCAACAACGAGGAGAAAACAAAGCATCGCACATTCAGAGGCGAGAGAATCCACCCGCCGCGAGTCTTCGTGCCGACGAAGCTTCCGCTTTGCCATCTAGAACCATCGCCATCCCCAACCTTCGGTAACCTTTCTGTTCATGCCAAAATCATTGAACTTTTGATGGTTTATTTTGTGTTTCAGGTGCAAGACGAAAGAAAACGGAAGGGAATAGTGAGGATGCAACGAAGAGAGAGATGATCGAGAGAGAAGAAGCCGAGCGTTAGGGAAATTTCTGGGGATTTAGGGTTCCGTCATGTTGTTTGTTCCCTCTGTAAATTGATTCCTCTTGCATTCTATACACATGCATGCACAACACTCACGGTACACCGCAAATCGTCCACCATTAACCATTCTAATCCCCATAATCATCACTTAAACCAATTTTCTTAAAATAAACCAACTTGTTTTATAATTCAAACTAATGCTTTTATTCGTTAATTAATTAATTTATCCACCCTTTTAATTGGTTTTTCTAATCATCCTCTCACAAACCAAATAACTCTTTTAAAATAAATCACTATACTTTTAAAAAAAAAAATTAATTGACTTTTAAGATGAATAACAACAACTATTTTTTGTGATTTTAAAATATTTCTTTTTCTAACTAATTGGTAATAACATTCTATTGAAATTGAACCCTTCCACTTTCTTTTAATAAGAATAAATAATTTTTTTTAATCTTAATTAACTTTATCTTTTACAATAATAAGCTAGAATCCATTTTGCTTAATAAATATTTTGCAAAGACTCATTTATTTAAAACTTTTCCATTTAAATTTTAATTAAACTATAATTTAAGACTTTTTTACTAAAGCAAATCAACCAATTCGTATTTTAATTTCATAATTAAAATTAAGTCGCCCCCTTAATATAATCAGCTGAAATCAGTGTAACTTTTTCCTAAAGTCAATCGTACCAAATCAATTCAACATTTTCTTACGAACTAATTCACCATATTAATCTAATCAATTAACCACACTATTTCACATAATTCAACTATAAAATCAATCTCCTACAACTTAACCCAACCGTGCACGCTTACGCCTCACTCACACTTCACCATTCACACACTTAGCGCTTTCATGCGTGTGTATTGTTTTACCTTATCCACTTTCTACTTTTATTCGCAATTTATTTTACAGCAATTTATCTTTCTCGCATCGCATTCCGTCCAAAGGAAGAACTTGCACGTAACGTAAAACTTACGCGTATGCATCCCATTTGTATCATTCTCCCCTATGATCCTTGATCCCATTCAAGTCGATCTTCTAAGTTAGATCCTACCCCATAGGAAGGACCTTTTTACAACTTAGAACAAACAAATCAACTCAACTCAATACATATTCAAACACCTTAGAGAATAAGATGTTAATCATCTTAAGCGAGATAAAACTTCTACCCCATAACAACATAATCAATTTTCCTACAACGTTGTGGCGGTTTAAACTAAGTAATCTCCCTTAAAATGATAACTCATCTTTACTCCTAAAATCAATCAATCAAATACCCTAAACCCGTAGGAACTTTGACCATAGTCGAAGAACTCCTCAAACCCTTTAGGGGAACTACAGATACTCTGATTCCACTCCCGTAAGGATATGTAAGCATAAGATGTGATATCTTATCGAGTATACTTAGAAATAAACCCCTAGGTCTTTCACCCTTAAGCAGATAAACCTTAGCAATAAAACAAACATAAAACAAGAGGTTCCTGTAGAGTACTACAGAAACTTAGGATGCTAGCACCTTCCCTAAGTTTAACCAACCCCCGAACCTATAACTCTCTAGCTTGCATTTGCATTGCATTGTGGGTATTTCGATCTTTATCCCTTCCTTTGGACAAATCAAAGTTCGGTTGCAAATGAATTAGATTCAAGTTAATCAATAGCTTGGTATCCAAATTTCACCGCGACAGGGTTAAGGTTGAAAATGAGGTTTAGGGTTCTAAAAGGTTAGCTAGGGTTCATGATTTATAGGGAGGGTTCTATGAGGGTATGAATTAGGGTTCTTATGGATGAAAGTTATGATGAATCTTCATCTAGAATTTGGGTTTTGGGTGGTGGATCATGGTGGAAGCCATGGTGGTCAGAGAAGTAAGTTGTGCTAAGGGAGAGTAGAGAAGAGAGAAGCGCGAGAGAGGGTAAAGTAGAGAGAGAGAGAGAGAGAGAGAGAGAGAGAGAGAGAGAGAGAGAGAGAGAGAGAGAGAGAAAAGAAGTGTAGAAATGAAATGTTCTGAAGGGAGGAGCAAATTTATACTCCCTTCATCCGTCCATTAAGACCACGTCACATGGCGCTCTCATAACCAACAGTTAGGCGGTCCCTATATAGGGATCCACACGTTAGCTTCCCTACATTAGTGAATCATGAACATTTATCCTACATACTTGTACCATTGACTGGATCTGATGGTTGTCTCAATTGAGAGTCAACCTCTGACCCTCATGAGTTGACTTCCACACATGTGTGGGCCTCCTGCATGCTTGGGCCTAGCGCTCATTGCTCATCACATTCTTAGTTTGCTTAGGTCCATTATACCCTAACTGAATTTGCACCCCCTCCTTATATTCTTTTTTAATTTATTTTTCTCATTTTCTTTTGTTTTTCATTTGTTTTTTAGTTATTTATTTAGTAATTTTTAATCAAGTGTAGTTGTTTAATTAGATGGTTAGTTGGCTCCAAATAATTGCCCATTTTATTTTAATTTATTTAAAATAAAAAATATCCATTTAAAAGCTTATTTGTTTAGATAAATAACAATGTATAATATCTCCTTTTATTTTTTATATTCTCAAACCACCGATCATTTCACTTTTCTTTAATTTCAAATTAAAATACTAAAAATAATAGAAATGCTTGTTAATTATAAATAACTCCTATTTTGTACATATTATTAAATTACTTTTATCAATCAAATTTAAATGACATTTTTGTAAATGGGAGGTGGACGCACATCCACCATGTCTTAAGTATTTGGTTGATTAGTGTTCACTGCATCGATCGATTACTTAAAATCAAAATCACATCTAAAAACAATTCAGCTAAAACTTTCTTTTGTACCCTGGTGCACCATTCCAAAATCTTCTTCATAAAAGGATAATATAAGCTAATTTTCAACGCGAAATAAAAACAAGCACTTAAGCCTCCACTGTGTGAGCATACAAGTCGACGGTTAAACACAACAATAACTTAAATCATATCCTCTAAAAATAACTAACACACAAACCTTTTATACGAACTACGGTGTTCATATTTTTTCATTGCACTATGAGAATACGTAGGCGAGGTTTTAAAGTCTTGGCGAGCACAATAATAAAAAACTTTTTTCTTCTTCTTTTTTTAAATAACTTCTATCCTTTTGTAAATGATTTCTTTTTGTTTACACTTGAATAAAAATAAAATAAAAATAAATTTTCTTGTAACAAACAATCGACCTTAGAACTTTAAAAAGTTTTCGTTGAGTACTACGAATGTGAGGGGTACTAATACATCTTTCTCGCATAATCAACTTTCGAATTCATATTTGATTGCGATGAACATCTTATCCTTTCTTTTTCTTTAGGGTTTTATCGTTATTTTCTCTTTTCTTAAGAATAAATAAAATTTGATGACTATTCTATTACTCATCCACAAATGTGTGATGCGCTTTGCGAGGTCGTATTTTAATTTGACTCTATTAATTTTTAATACAATTTATTTCAAGGATATGATTTTTGACAAGAAAAATATAATGAAATAAATTTTAAATTTTCTTATTTATAATTGACTAGAGAAATATAATGAAATAGATTTCAAATTTGCTTATTACATAAATTCTTTTAAGTAATTTAATGATAACAATTCATCTTTAAAGATGAATAAGTGGAATATTGAAAATTTGAACACGCAACTACTCTGATGTTCTAGTTACCAATTGACTTAAATTATTTCATCAAATACTAATTTGGCATATAATACATTTATTACTTTCTCTATTTTTTTCATCGAATTATAGTATTTTTTATCTCATTATCCTATAAAACGGGGACTAAATACATATTTCCTTTTTTAGATAACATCTTCACCTATTTTTCTTTATCCAATAAAGACAGCTTGTGCCCTCACTTTCAATTTAGATCTGGCATCGTTCACTTCTCTCTCTATCTTATTCCTATTTTCTTCTTGTACTCATCTTATTGGCCCTTCACACAGGTACTACAGTACATTCTCAGATCTCACTCACTTATTCATCATCATCATTGCAGAGTTTGCAGGTGAAGGAATTGAATAGAACTTGCCATGGCGAGCAGAAACCTAGAAAAGATGGCATCCATCGATGCTCAGCTTCGTCAATTGGTTCCTGCTAAAGTCAGCGAGGATGATAAACTTGTTGAGTACGATGCTTTACTCTTAGATCGATTCCTTGATATTCTTCAGGATTTACACGGAGAAGATCTCAAGGAAACGGTGAGCCTAATTTGTTATTTTAAACCTCATTTCTCGATGATGGATATTCCTAATCTGTTCTTACGCAGGTTCAAGAAGTATATGAACTTTCTGCAGAGTATGAAGGAAAGCATGATCCGCAGAAACTTGAAGAACTTGGAAATTTGATTACTAGTTTGGATGCGGGAGATTCTATTGTTGTAGCCAAGTCCTTTTCGCATATGCTTAACTTGGCAAATTTAGCGGAAGAGGTTCAGATTGCTCACCGGCGAAGGATTAAGTTGAAGAAGGGTGATTTTGCTGATGAGAATAATGCAACAACTGAATCTGATATTGAGGAAACTCTTAAGAGACTTGTAGGGGATTTGAACAAGACTCCTCAGGAGGTTTTTGATGCACTTAAGAACCAGACTGTTGATTTGGTTCTTACTGCTCATCCTACGCAGTCGATTCGGAGATCTTTGCTTCAAAAGCATGGAAGGTTGGCTTCAAAAACCTAGTGATTTTCAGCTTCTAGACTTTACTTTTCTTGTTTTTCTTTTTGTTTACTTATTTTGAAGACTGTTAAACTTTCATATGTTTGTTTTCTTTACAGGATACGGAATTGTTTGACACAATTGTATGCCAAAGACATTACTCCTGATGATAAGCAGGAGCTTGATGAGGCTCTACAGAGGGAGGTGAATATCAAAACTCTTGGGATTTCTTTTAATGTTCTTTCAAACTGTTGTGATTATACCATTTTTTTTATTTGTTGCAAGTGCTTTCTGTTATCTACGCGTGTAGATATAGAAATGCAAATTTCATACCACTAAAAACTTATATGCAATTTGATCTATTAAACAGATGTTAAACACAAGTAATTGGGGAAATTATTTCTTTTATAAATCATACAGTGAGTTTCTGTGGCTGTGATCCAATGGTTTATATCCGTGTGTGCATAACTGTCTTTTCTAGACATGAAATCATCATTGACTCCATGTTATTAAAAAGTATATTCAATTTGCAAAAAAATGCTTTGTATTTGAAGGCATGATGATTTTGTAACGCTTCTTCTATTACTTCTGTTCATGTAGATCCAAGCTGCCTTCCGTACTGATGAAATCAGGAGGACTCCTCCAACCCCACAAGATGAGATGAGAGCTGGGATGAGCTACTTCCATGAAACAATTTGGATGGGTGTACCAAAATTTCTCCGTCGTGTTGATACAGCATTGAAGAACATAGGGATTAATGAACGTGTCCCATATAATGCGCCACTTATTCAGTTTTCTTCTTGGATGGGTGGTGATCGAGATGGTATGATTATTTTTACCTTTCTCCAATTATATTTCACTGTATAAGGAAACAAACATGTGTAGAGATTGTGAATCCTAATGTTATAAATGTTGCCATCTAAAATGTCAACCTTTAGACGGGTCATATTAAGAAATGATACTATTAAGCTTCTCCAAAGGTCAAATCTCATGTGTCTAACTATGTACAAAATGATGCAGGAAATCCAAGAGTAACTCCTGAAGTGACAAGAGATGTTTGCTTATTGGCTAGAATGATGGCTGCTAATTTGTATTATTCCCAGATAGAGGATCTTATGTTTGAAGTAATTTAGAGCCATCCAAAACTTTTTAAACAATATCGTTGTAGATGGTTTATTACTATGGCACCATAATGCTAAATTCCCTTTTGTTTCTGTAGCTGTCAATGTGGCGCTGCAATGATGAGCTACGTGTCCGTGCAGAAGAACTTAACAGGTCTTCTAAGAAAGACGCAGTCGCAAAACACTATATAGGTGTTTACTTAAGTCTTTCTTTTAAGTTCAATTTAGTATAATTCTTATACCACAGTAAAAGCTCCCAAATTATGATAAATACTTGAGGTTGCATCATAATAGGTTCGTTAGTTTACTTGATGATGCTCTTTACTCATTTATGATACAGAGTTCTGGAAAAACATTCCTCCAAACGAACCATATCGAGTGCTACTTGGTGAAGTAAGGGATAGGCTCTACCAAACTCGTGAGCGTTCTCGCCATTTGTTAGCAAATGGGTACTCTGACATTCCAGAGGAACATACCTTCACCAATGTTGACGAGGTAATATATTTACTTAATTTTCTTTTCAAATAGTATAATCTATTCCAGTTTCTAATTTTAGCAATTTTAAAATCACCGTTGTTTGTTATGCAATTATTCCGTCCACTGTTTGTTTATATTGTTTGATAAACTCTATCAAAACCTGTTTAAATTTTAATATAATTTTGTTTTCTGAAGCATTGATGTTTTTTATTGTTATGGATTATCATCCATGTTTACATTTCTACTAGTTAATTTGTTCTTCACTTTTGTTTGTAGTGAAAAAGGATAAAATTGATAGGACAAGGTTATGTTGTATATTAAAGACTTAGTTCGATTGCATGTTATTTTTTAGCTTACAGATGATAACTAACTTTTAAAATATTGTGTAGTTCTTGGAACCTCTTGAACTCTGTTATAGATCACTTTGTGCTTGTGGTGATCGCACAATTGCTGATGGAAGTCTTCTAGATTTCTTGAGGCAAGTCTCTACTTTTGGTCTTTCACTAGTGAGGCTTGATATCAGGCAAGAGTCAGACCGTCATACTGATGTGTTGGGTGCCATTACAAAACACCTGGAAATTGGCTCCTACCTAGAATGGTCTGAAGAAAAGCGGCAGCAATGGCTTTTGTCTGAACTGAGTGGCAAGCGCCCCTTGTTTGGGACTGATCTTCCTCAAACTGAAGAAATTAGAGATGTTTTGGACACATTTCATGTCATAGCCGAACTACCATCAGACAACTTTGGAGCATATATCATATCAATGGCTACTGCACCATCCGATGTGCTTGCAGTTGAACTTTTGCAACGTGAATGCCATGTCAAGCAACCGTTGAGAGTTGTACCGTTGTTTGAGAAGCTTGCAGATCTGGAGGCAGCTCCTGCCGCTTTGGCCAGGTTGTTTTCAATAGATTGGTACAAAAATCGGATCAATGGGAAACAAGAAGTCATGATTGGGTATTCTGATTCAGGTAAAGATGCTGGAAGGTTTTCTGCGGCATGGCAGCTATACAAGGCTCAAGAGGAGCTTATAAAGGTAGCCAAGGAATATGGTGTTAAACTAACTATGTTCCATGGTCGTGGAGGGACTGTTGGGAGAGGTGGCGGTCCCACTCATCTTGCTATCCTGTCTCAGCCTCCAGATACTATCCATGGATCACTTCGTGTCACTGTCCAAGGAGAAGTTATTGAGCAATCATTTGGTGAGCAGCACTTGTGTTTCAGAACACTACAACGTTTCACTGCAGCTACTCTAGAGCATGGAATGCATCCTCCAATATCTCCTAAACCAGAATGGCGTGCTTTGATGGATCAGATGGCTGTCATTGCCACAGAAGAGTACCGTTGTATGGTATTCCAAGAACCCCGTTTTGTTGAGTATTTCAGGCTGGTATGATTCCTTAAATGAAGATCAATTCCTTTTTTTTTATTTTTTTTAATCTTCCTATTGAATAAACTGACGTTTATATTAACCATCACTAAAAACTTTCTAAATTGCAGGCTACTCCAGAGTTGGAGTATGGCCGTATGAATATCGGAAGTCGACCGGCAAAGCGAAAGCCAAGTGGAGGTATTGAGACACTCCGTGCAATACCTTGGATCTTTGCCTGGACACAAACAAGGTTTCATCTTCCAGTGTGGCTAGGCTTTGGGGCAGCATTCAAGCATGTTATTGACAAGGATATTAGAAATCTTCAAATGCTTCAAGAGATGTACAATCAATGGCCTTTCTTTAGGGTCACTATTGATTTAGTGGAAATGGTGTTTGCCAAGGGAGACCCTGGTATTGCTGCTCTATATGACAGGCTCCTTGTTTCAAATGATCTATGGTCATTTGGGGAGCTGTTGAGAACCAAATTCGAAGAAACTAAGAAACTTCTTCTTCAGGTAAAGCTATATTAATTCAGTTCATTCCTAACAAGGTGTTTGTTTCCAGTTATTTAAATTTTGTTATTGGGAATAGTTTTTGGATCAGTGTTTATCAAATTGGGGCGCCATGTCCGCTATGGTGGATATGCATGGTGGTTTTTGGGCTTGCCGCAATGATAAATATTGGCCGATGTTGCGGGTTTTTCCACCATAATCCGCTATAGTGGCGCCACAAAGCGGCCGGTATGGCGGGATTTTGGCTCTCCGCTGTGGACTGCCATCCACCATTGACAACACTACTTAGGATTATGAGAATCTTATATTTGAGTATGTGTTTTTTTCTAAAGAACTGGTTGACCATCACTTATAAAATTCCAAGTAACCATTTCGTTCGAATATTTTTTCTCAATCCCCTTCGGATTAAAACCATAGAAATGTAAGTTTTTCCATAAGGATTAAAATTTTGTAACCTTGTAACAAAAAACAATAATACACTTTCTCTAGCCATATATTATTGGTAATGTATCTATAGATGATTTGAACTATAAGTAGTTTTTTATTCTTTGTTAAACATTAAACTATTTCCTAAGAATGAGATACTGATCAGTAATTACACAAGCTTATTTTCATTTTTCTGCTGTACTGGTATAGGTGGCTGCGCACAAGGATCTTCTTGAGGGAGATCCTTACTTGAAGCAAAGACTCCGTCTGCGTGATTCGTACATTACTACCTTGAATGTTTGTCAGGCCTACACATTGAAACGCATCCGTGATCCCAACTACAATGTAAAGCTACGCCCCCATATCTCCAAAGAGTTTATAGAGATAAGTAAAGCTGCTGATGAACTTGTAACACTGAATCCAACCAGTGAATATGCACCTGGTTTGGAAGACACCCTCATTCTCACTATGAAGGGTATTGCTGCTGGCTTGCAAAACACCGGTTAAATCCGAGCTTCTCCTCTTCCCTTTCACTTTTGTTTTCTTACATAAATAATGAATAGCACACACCGAAAGGGTGTTGTTTGATGTCCCATATGAACTGGGTTTCCATGCTTCTGTGCTAAAGAGATAGATGCATTGCACTGGAATGAATCAATGCATGTTTGTAACTGACTGTTATGTTCCAGTCCTATATTATGCTGATCACTACTTACACTTATTTGTATAACTTATTTGTATCAACTATTGGTTAAACCAACATTTTATACAATGCCTAATGAGTTGTCTAAAATGCCAAATTATATGCTGTATGTATGCACGCAAAAAGTTTGTCCGTCAGCATTCATACATTGCCAGCTTTTTGAAAATTTAAGATGGTTCTTGTAATCTTAAACAACATGAGAAAATATGTGGTAATCTTTCATCAACACTGTCAATTTTTTTCTTCTTCCATGAACATGTACAGGTTTTGTAATTAGATGTTTGATAGAGTTCCTACAATCACCCATACAAAATCCATGGTATAAGTCAAAACAAAGGAAGGACAAATGATGGCAAGTAACATTACTAGTCATATTTATAAGAAAAAAAATTGCATTTTAGATTCATTGAATAGACAAAGTATTTGGATAAAATATAGACCAAATTAAATATTTAATGAATTTAAAAACAATTTTTTTTTTTTAAATTAGTTCAGTTAACTTTCTTATATTATGCTATCTCCAGTTTTTTTTTTATAAAGAACAAAGACTAGTGAGGTGCGAATGTGTTAATAGAGAGGAAGACATTTCATTGAAATCATTTGTAGCAGATTACAATCTATTTCCTCTAATCTTATTTACAAGAAACATTTCATTGAATCATCAATATATATGATCTATTATATAGTTTAAATAAATAAATTATTTAATAAATTTAAAAAGTAATTTTTCTTTTATAAATAGAAACGAAAGTAGTATAATATAAGAAAGTTAGCTGCTTTGAAAATTACACCATTAACCTTTGGTCTTCATGTGCCACATCATCAATTTTGGGCCAAATAATATCTTTCATTTTTTCCAACCATGTGTCTCTTTATATTCAAATTGAACTAAGTCATTGTTATTATAGTTTTTTTTTTTTTTTTAAAAATCACACGTTAGAATTTTTACAAATTTTGAGTTTCGGGTAACTTTTACTTTATCTGGGATTTGGAAGACAACTATTGCACCCCTTTGCCCTAAGATTAGTCGGTTCATCTCGCATTCCATTGTATTTTTATATTGCATTTAACCAGTCACTAACAGGTTTGTGTAGTCGGTTGATTTTGCAGGAAAAATCACGCTGTGCGCTCTTTAGCTTGGTGAAGGGTAAAAGGGTCATTTATTCACAGTCGATTGCCAATTTGTGAATATGAGTTGTAGTCATGGAATTTGAGCCATTTGAGTTCGTTGATGAGAATTGAGGCCGAGGGTGTCGATCGAAAGAGTTTAATCATGGAGGATAGTCGGAAAGCTATGTCCACTTGAGGAATCGACGGGTTAGATTTATTCTGATAAAGCTTCATTTAAATTGTTGAAAAGATTAGTCGGGGGTGGTATCGGAGACAGAGATTAATCGGATGGTGTGGGTTGGCATTTCATTTTTCATAAAAAAATTTAATTCTTTTTGTTTCATTTCATTTTAATAAATTTAATTCCTTGTCATTTCATTATTAAGAAAAAAGAATTTTGTTTCATTTCATTATTAAAAAAAAAGAATTTTGTTTCATTTCATTTTTAATAAAATTAACTACTATTGTTGTTTCATGTCATTATTAATAAAAAAAATTGTTTCATTTCATTTTAATAAAAAATATTTTTGTTTTGTTTTGTTTTATTATGATTATTTCATTTTAATATCAGTTTCTTATGTTATTTTAATATCAAAAAAATTATTATTATGATTATTTCATTTTAATATATAAAAAAAACTGCTAGGTTTATTTCATGTTAATATTAAAAATTTGTTATTATGATTATTTCATTTTAACATAATTTTTTTTATGTTTTTTTGCATTTTAATTTTATTTAATTATTTTAATTCTATTTAGTTATAACTAATATTAATTTAAGTTGGGCTTTAAAATGGGCATTAGGTTAGAGTTAACCCTAATTTGATACCTATATAAACATAAGTTGTATTTGAGAAAAGGAAAAAAGAGATAAAAGAAAAAACGGCGGCCGTTCTCACGACTTATCAAAAGAGGGGAGATCTTTGAAAAAACCTTCAAAGCTTCATCATCAACATCAACGAACCACCACCACCGCCTCAAAAGATAGCTTCATCACCGGCCGGAGTCACCACCACGGACGAAATCTATCATCCAAACGGATGGGAAATAGTCAAACCGGAACCGAAAATCATAGAGAAAAGGGTAAGCCACTCCAACAATGTTTTTTTTTCCTTTTCAGATGAACATAAGAATTAGAAAGAGGAAGAAGAAGACATGCAAGCGAAAGATGAGGAGAAAAGCTCTGAACCATGGAAGACAGCCGCCGCCGGTTGGGAAGAACAAGGGAAATGTTTTTTTTTTCTAAACCCTCAAAACAAGGGAAAGGGTTTTTTCCCAAACCCTCAAAACAAGGAAAATGGTTTTTTCCCCAAACCCTCAAAACAAGGAAAATGATTTTTTTTCCCAAACCCTCAAAACAACGCAACAACACCATCCACCTATCCCCACTCCTTTTATTTCTATTTCTATTCTTTTTTTTTAAATTATATTATTATATTATTATATTATCTTTTTATTTTTTTATCTTATTATTATTATTTTAAAACAGTAATTAGTAATCACATTATATTTTAATTTATTACTAACACTTCTTTTATTTTTAAAACCCTAAGGCAAAAATTTAAACTTTTTTTTTGAAAAAAATCATTTCTTTTTTTAATTAAGAACCCTTTTTTTTAAGAAACAATTTTCTTAACCAAAAAAAAATTTCAAAAAATTAAAATATTTTTTTATTACAACAAAAATTAAAAACAAACTCTTCTTCATTTAAAACCTTAAAATTAAAAAAGATTTGTTCTTCATCAAAGCATTTTTCTTTAATCAAAATAAAACAAATTTTTTAAAAAAATATCAAAAATTAAAATAATTTCTCCTTTTAAATGCAAAAATTAATTCTTCCCTTTAAATAAAATTCAAAAAAATAAAGTTTTTGATTTAGCCGCTTCATTTTCGTCTAACCCTCGTTAGTTTGTTCATTGCAGCTCCTCAATATTTCATTTGTTCGTACTATTTTTTGTTTCATGGATGTAATTTATGCGAGGCCATGATCGCAATTATTTTTATTTTCGCATTTGTTTTTGGGATTTGTAATTTACGCGAGTGATCGTCGCGATGCTTCTTTTACCACTTTCTTTATCTTTCCGCACTTTAATTCTGCCGTATAATAATTTGCTATATCTTGCATGATTTTCCGTTAGAATCCCTTCCGAAGGATTAGGTCTAGCCGTTTGACCGCCGAGTCAATAACCCTAACGTTTGACCATTTCAAAACCCTAATCGCATAGGTGTCCTGCCGTGGACGAAAATACCCTTTACCCTAGCATTAGGTCAAAGAGTCGTCGCACTCTGTTTTAGGGTTTCCCGCCGTGGAACATTTAGTCAACCCTAATTTACCCCTAATTTCAATTCAACATTTCAACGTAGAAATAAGAGTTTCAAAACTCCACGTAAGCATGTCCTTAAGATACGTTTACTCCCCTTGAAACCTTGACCACAGTCAAGATGTTTCTAACCTCCCTTTCAAGGGGAACTACAGTTACTCTGATTCCATTCCCTACCTCGGATACGTAGGCACAAGATGTGAATCTTGGCGAGTAAACTTAGGACTAAACCTTAGGTCTCTTTAGGTCACTCTATCCCTTAGCTCAGTATATATTTCAAACAGATAATAAAAATAAAATAACATACTTTAAACAAAAGGTTCATGTAGAGTACTACAGAAGTTTAGGGTGCTAATACCTTCCCTAAGCTTAACCAACCCCTTACCTAGGTCTCTCCCCGCATTGTCACTTTACAACTTTTTCATCCAACTTTCTCAATTTACTTTACTTCTGATAAAAAGGATTCAACAACTATTTTCAGATCTAGGGTTTTCACCATAGACAACAACAAAAAAATTAAGAACAATAAAAATAAAAATGAAATGTCTTCTTAATTCTGCCCTCTCTAAGGGTGAAACGAGTTTAAATGCAAAAAGATAAAACTCAATTGGGCTACCACAGTTGGGCCCAATTAGAAAAAATACTAATAAAAATTAATACAACGTTCTACTTTAATTCATAATCTCCCATCCACTTGGGTTAGATGCTCATTCGTTTGGGCCTACTTACACTACTATTTGGCCCAAAGACAACCTTGTCCTCAAGGTTGGGCTTAATGTGTGTGATAATAGGTTGAAAGGACGTGGCCCATGTTGCTGATGTTTTGTGGCTGGATGATGAAATGGAACGGCAAGTTGGAGGAGAATGGGAGACATCTATGATCATATCTAGAGTGGGAGATGGTGCATGCGTGCCACGTGGCATCTTGGAAACATTAATGGAACCACGTGAAGAGTTAGTTGCAGTCGGTGGGTTTGGAAAACGCATATCACGAGGTACACTGTTGGACGGTGATGATGGATGCTTGGGAGACTTCAATTGAACGTGTGGCTTGGACTCATTGACACAACATCCTTTAGAAAGCTCTGTGTCAGACTTATTATAATAGGGAAATGCATGCTTAAGACTTGGGGAAACAAAGCCTCTAGATTCATTTGAGATCTCTTCACTTTTTTTCTTTTCTTTCTCATTACCTGTCTTTGAACTTGTGTTAGCTTTCTGTTCTTGAGTCTTCATCTCTTGAGTTTTCAACTCTTGAGTTTGCAACTCTTGAGTTTGCATCTCTTGAGTCTTCATCCCTGTTTCCTCAGTACCTTCAGTGATATACTCATTTTCCTTCATAGTGCGTTCAGTGGCTGGTATATCAAAATATG